TTGCTTCCATGGTTTGTCAGCGCCTGACACTCCCATGTTTAAATTGACATAGATACCCAATAAAGTGGCTGGAGGGATAGCTGTCATGGCAGCCCAGTTGTAGAGCATCGAACGCGTTATTCGAAGGTCGCAGGTTCAGATCCTACCCACGGCGAGTTATCTTTTCACCCAGTTTTCTTTCTTCTCATTTACATTACAGTTGGCATAATAAATTACTCTATATATACCTTCCTTGGTATTATTGTCTGTTAGAACATATACTATATATATATATATATATATATATATATATATATATATATATATATATATATATATATATATATATATATATATATATATATATATATATATATATATATATATATATATATATATATATATATTGTAATGAGCGAGACAGACACAACACCCGTTCGTTGGGCAAGCTGTTCTATTCTGACTTCGTTCTTCTCTTCTTTGCTCTGGCTATCCGCGCGCCGGAGCCCCAGTGTCTTTCTTGGTCGTGACACTGAGCCATGACTGCGCGCGCGCGGAGCTGGCGGCAATGTTTTTGGTGGGTAGGCTTGGCTGCATCGTGGTGGTTGGCCCGGACCACGATGCAACATCGGGCGACGGTCTGGGGGAAGCGTCTCTGGTGGACGGCACTGTCTGCCTCGAGCTGGTTGCTGTTTTGCACGCCATGATGTCTCTTGAACAAGTGCGGTGGACTCAGGCGGCCGGCACTGGCTGACCGTTGTGGCCGACGCTCTCGGCCATGCTGCGATTTGGTCCGGGTATCTGCCAGAAGTAGATCTGGTGGTCGATGCTGGCTGCATCTCGGAAGTCGGCCTCAGCCACGCGGGAACTGGGTGCCGGAGTCTGCCACAAGTCTATTGGGAGGACGAGACTGGCTGCATCGTTGTGGTCGGTCTCGGTCACGCAGACACTCTCTATGGGAAGCAGCTAAACATGCACCTAACAGCGCGCTCTGGACGGGCCGCAAAATCAGCGGCTGACGTAAAACGCCGGACGAGGGTTGCCGAAAGCGTACCCCAAAAGACGCGCTAGGTGCCTTGGCTGGTGTCGAGAGTGGGTACGCAACTTCTGTGATGTGTGGCAGAAAACATAATTCACGGCCGGTCTTGGCATCTGCGACAGGACATTCTGTGATGCTGTCATCGTGTTGGCTGCGTCTGTGGGGTCCCTCTCGTGGACGCGATGACTCGCCTTGCGGGGCTGTCGAACACTCTGGTCGGTGACCATGGCTATCTCGTAGCAGTTGCAGCACGCTTAGCAGGCAATTTCGCTGGTACAGTTTAGGGCACTGGTCTTCATTGCCGTAGACGTTCTGGGCAGGCTGCAATGCCCGGGCATCATGCTTTGACGCAGGAGCCTCTGCACAGCTATCTCTGCCTCTTCTTGTTCTGCGGTCGCGAGGAATCAGGTTGTTTTTTGGTGGTTGTGTACCACGGCGTCCATAGGGGTTAACGCCACCACAGCTGCACATCATGCTGCAGACACCAGGGGCGTACGAAAACCTCACCTCGCTGCTCTGTGCGAGCTGTTCACCGGCTGGCCGATCTATCTCTGATTCCTCCTCAACGCACACTGCCTCCTTGTGATCCGCACGGCATTCAGATGGTCTCAAAGTCATATTGCATTGCCCATGATCCCAAGTAGGGCTGTACGCCGGGAGGCCGGAAGTGCTGATGTTGACTTCGCCTGCTTGCGGCGCATCACTACCGTCGGCCAAGGCTGGTTGGCAGATGCGGAAAAAACAGGCGTATAGTCCATTAGAACTTCAGAACAGGTACTCGGCTCTTAGTGAGGAAACCAACCTTAGCGTAGATATAATGAATGATAATCTGACGAATATCGTTACGGAGTGTGCAGTGGAAGTTGGAGGCAGGGTAGTTAGGACGCTGGCAAGCTTTCCCAGGAAACGAAAAATCTCATTAAGAAGCGTCAAATCATGAAAGTCTCAAGTACAACAGACAAAAAAGAACTGGCAGAGCTTTCAAATTTGATTAATACGCGTAAGGTATGCGATGTAAGAAGGTATGATATGGAGAGAATTGAACACGCTCTGAAAAACGAAGGAAGCGTCAAAGCAGTGAAGAGGAAGCTTGGGATAGGCGAAAATTGGATTTATGCACTAAGAGACAACGAAGGCAAAATAACTACCAATGGGGGATAGGATGGGTAAAATAGCGGAGGAGTTTTACAGAGATCTGTACAGTAGCCGGGACAACCACGACTTTAATACTATAAGAACTAGCAATAACCCAGATGACACCCCACCAGTAATGATAGAAGAAGTCAGAAAAGCTTTGGAGAGCATGCAAAGAGGCAAAGCTGCTGGTGAGGACCAGGTAACATCAGATCTGCTGAAAGATGCAGGACTGATTGTGTTACAAAAACTAGCCACCCTGTTTACGAGGTGTCTCCTGACGGGAAGAGTACCAGAGGCTTGGAAGAACGCTAACATCATCTTAACACATAAGAAAGGAGATGACAAGGACTTGAAGAATTACAAGCCGATCAGCTTGCTCACTGTAGTATACAAGCTATTTACAAAGGTAATTGCTCACAGAGTAAAGAAAACATTAGAATTCAATCAACCAAAGGAACAAGCAGGATTTCGAACAGGCTACTCAACAATCGACCACATTCATACTATCAATCAGGTAATACAGAAATGCTCAGAATATAACCAGCCACTGTACATAGCCTTCATAGATTACGAGAAGGCATTTGATTCAGTAGAAATATCAGCCTTCATGCAGACACTGCGGAATCAGGGCGCTGATGAAGTAGAGATAAACACCCTGGAAGAAATCTACAGGGGATCAACTGCTACCATAGTGCTTCATAAAGAAAGCAAGAGAATACCAATCAAGAAGGGTGTAAGGCAGGGGAATACAATATATTCACCCAATGCTATTTACCGCGTGCTTACAGGAGGTTTTCAGAGGCATAAAATGGGAACAGTTGGGGATACGGGTTAATGGAGAGTACCTTGGTAACCTTAGCTTCGCCGATGACATTGCATTGCTGAGTAACTCAGGGGACGAATTGCAACTCATGATTACGGAGTTAGACAAGGAGAGCAGAAAGGTGGGTCTTAAAATTAATCTGCAGAAAACGAAAGTAATGTACAACAACCTCGGAAAAGAGCAGCGCTTCGAGATAGGTAATAGTGCACTTCAAGTTGTAGAAGACTATGTCTATTTATTTTGGGCAGGTAATAACCGCAGAGCCGAACCACGAGATTGAAGTAACTAGAAGAATAAGAATCGGGTGGAGCTCATTTGGCAAGCACTCTCAAATTATGACAGGTAGATTGCCAATATATATATATATATATATATATATATATATATATATATATATATATATATATATATATATATATATCCCTCAAGAGGAAGGAATACGTTCTATAGCGTGGTGGCTCTCTCGCACGAGCGCTAATCTCGGGATTCTTGTGCTTTTACCGCAAGTTTGCTTTGAAGTTACAGTAGTTAAAGAGAGCACGAACGTCAGTTTGTTCGCTGCCACGGCCGCGTTTCCGTAAGCAGCGCGCTGCCAACACTCACACATAAACTAAAAATTGTGAAATTGTTTGCCCGCGCTCGTTTCGTGCGTGCGTTCTGCTTGAGGTGTGCGCCGAAAATTTGGAGCAGCTTACAGTTCTTCGCGTGACATTGCTATTTGTTACTGCAGCATTCACTGTTTCTCCCCTGCGGCGAAACAATGCACTATAAATGCTCAATTACCTCTTCGGGGACACGTTCACTTCCGTATTATACCGATTCCCAAAAAGAAGAATAAAACAAGTTTTTTTACATCCATTGTTCATCACCAAAATTAGCACTGGCGTCGCAGAAAGCATTATAATATATGCGACAACAGGATTTGCCGGAACGAAATTTTGAACGCATCATTAGCACTGATAATAACAGTAAGCATAATATGCAGATTTGATGAATGCAATAAAGAATTTGGAACAATAATTTTTGTGGTGATATAGCCAAAAACGACCAGAACCGTTTACATACATACTTCGCGTTCTATTTGGTGTGGGTGTATGTAATTTACTAAATTGAAATGTTTCGTGTAAAGTCGGCGAGACAAGTGACCGACAAGGTTCTTTTGTTCTGTCACATTTTCTTCAACGTTGTGGAATTTTGGTGTGTGGTACGATGCGTGACAAGACGGATTTAGTCCACAGCAGCCATCAATCAATCAATCAATCAATCAATCAATCAATCGCTCAATCAATCAATCAATGAATGAATCAATCAATCAATTATTCGCTTGCCCAAAACAGTCAAATAGATTTTTCGCATACAAAACCATGTCAATAAAACAAAAGAATCACTGCCATGACCATCCTGAGGTGTGCGGAAATATATTTGCCTCGAGCGCCGTCTTACCTAGTTACGCCACTGCCAGCTAGACATATTCGTCAAACCCTCTTACCCTCCTAACATGTGTTCGTCAAGCTGCGATTAACTACTGCCGCTTCATTGTCATTTTCTTTTTAATCATGTTTTCTCCTATAAATGCAGTGGAGCTATAAAACTGAATTGCAATGCGTGCAAAGTACTGAATGGAAAGGGAAAGAGGGGAGGCATGCAACTTTTAATACGTCGTATGAAAAGGCACACAATGTTCTAGGGTCATATGAATTATCGTTTTTTTTTTTCGTTTTTTTTTTTCACTCTATGCCTTAGTACAGATGTCGGATTGTTGTAAGAGCAGTTACTCATGTTCTAAGCCTCAATTCTCACGCTTCTTTGCTAAGCTTCTTGAATTTTGAGCGCATTCTTCACCAACAGCCACGCACAACATCAGTACGACTTTTTGACATTTCCGTAAAAAAAATCAAAATATAGTTATCTTTGGCAAACTAGTTTTGATTTTCTGTTTTATTGGCCTTTACCGCGTCTGAAAAGTGGCGTTGCAATCGCGACTCTCTCTACTTCAACTGGCAACACTGACGCATGCGGTTTCTTTTTTTGCGTTCTTGTTTCAATTGTTGGTTTCGTTCGCTCGTTGTTTCGCCGGGAGTTTCTGCTTTCCGTTCCAGCGCCTCGGATATGTACCTTCTCGTATTCGCCCCTTGGAGATGACTTACGACTGCTGGCGCAGCGCATCATCGAGAGACGTGAATGAGCATAGCATTTTTGCTGCACCATGTATTCGACGGAAGCGGCCAAAACGATTGTAGGGGACCTGGCGCTCGTCTTCACCATAGTCAACTACGCCAGCGGAGTGTGAGTGGCTCAATTTACTGGCTCATAAAAAAAAAAAAAAATCCCGTGATCGTGTAAGACACCTGCTGACGAGCGACGGGTTGCGAACTCGCGCCTGCGCGGCGCTTTACGCGCAACGATAAATGCCGAACGAGAGATATGTCAGCGAGCCGAATACATAGTTATACGGCGCGAATTGCTGCGGTTGTGATCACCGAAGGTGTGCCTCTTGCCGTTTTCGTTTCAGACAAATATGCAGAAAAGTTCGTGAGAAAGGCGGGACCCATGATCTTTCCCCGCTGCCTTTCTTGGCTGGCATGCTTGCGTAAGTGTGTATACTTTGACGTGGCAATTCGAAAGCGGTACTGTTTGACAGTTTTCTTCTTCTCACTCTCTTGATATTCTCTAGCACGTTCCTCTGGTTCGAGTACGGTGTTATGAAAGGAGACAACATATTGGTGTGGGTGAACTCCATTGGATTCCTGCTGCAGATGATGTTCCTGTGCTATTTCTACTCGTACACAAAAGTCAAAGTGAGTAGGAAGTTCTACTACATTTCCCACCACATGGTGTCTAGTTTGTTGCTGTTATTGCCGCGGCAAGTTCGCCTGAAAAATTATTTTGTGGGTCATAAACAAAAAAGACAGCCTGTGTACTTTGGTACAGGTTAAAAAAGAAGCCCAAGGTATTCAAGTTCAGGAGTACTTACAACAGTGCCATTCCTTATTATGTGATAGCAGGTTGTTTAATACGTTAGAATATTATGAACTGCAGGGAGCATGCGCGTATACCTACATGATGTCTGTCTGATCGTATGACGTCCATAGTGTGAACTCTTTCATTCGTGCTACTCAACCAAAGATAATTTCAACTTTCTGCCTTGCCTGTGTGAGAGACATTGCAGAGCTTTAGCATCCTGTCGTGGCATTTTATCATCTTGTGCATCTTAAGGTATGTGCTTGTTCTCATGCTTATGGTCATGGACAACACCACAGGTGAAAAACTGACCCTGCCTGCGGTTACGTCCCACTTAGTATACTCATCACTTAATCTTACACTCCATAAACACGTGTTTACACAGAACTGACATAAAAGTCTAAAAACATAAGAACCTGGCAAGCTGTCCCTTTGCTCCATAAAAGTGCCACTTATAACAGACCAGAAGAAAACATGCAACAGATTTCCAGTATATAGCACGTAAACTAGATGCATCAAAATCGAATGTGTCATCTACAACCGACTCTACTGTACCAACGTATAAAGAGCGCACTCCACACCTTTCTCTGTTATCACTGGTGTGAACAAGTTATGTTCTAATGATGTTACAACAATGACGATTTTTTGTGTAACATCCCAAAGTTCTGTAATAGAAGTCTTCAATCTTTCCACTTCTGTCAAAAAGAAAATTAAAGACTTGACACATTTAACTCTCATATGTGCTAATATGGGTTATGTGTCCTTTCTGCCATTTCTGTTGGTGTTGCTGCACCAGTTTTTATACACCTGCATTTTGGGTTGGTAAATGACCGGACACAGATCGGAGCAGAAAAACAAGTGTTGCCAAATAGGAGTGTATTCCGGACTATTTGTCTTTATTGTTCTCGTACAGATTGTATTCCCGACTATTTTTTTATATAAATACTTTGAGTGGTATTCTAGGTTCCCAAAAAGATATTTGTGTACGACTACCTTATGCTGAAATAATATACAATCTTCCAAGAGTAGGTAAAAGGGGCTTCTCAAGGAATAACATAGTATTGATGATGATGCATGAAAAATATTTCTTCCTAGGCCGTTAACTTGTGGCACTCATTGAGTGTGTTCAAAGTTATTCAATATTGCCACCCCATGCGCCTTGTGTTGCTGACACAATTTTGCAGCCGTCACTATGGAAGCAAGGAAGCAGGAATGTGTCACCTAGTGCTACTATATTGCTAAATTACAACAGTGTCAGAATTAAGCTAGCTAACAAAAAGCCCTTGCCCAAAATCCTAGCTAAAGAGAAACAGACAAGCTCTAGATGAGAGAATACGTACGTAAAATAAAATAAAATGAAAGCTTCTAACATATGATGACTTCGACATGAAGCTGCTAATGTACTTGCACGCAAGGTTCCGGACTGTCATCTCAAATGTTCAATGGCTATTAAAAGCTTCCTTATCCAGTATTGAGCTAATAAAAAAAAAAAGCCTTATTTATGTGAATAGGACATTGACATGCTAGGATGCAGGGTATTTAAATTAATGAAAAAGTTGTGAAACGAGTTTCGCTTATTTAGTCGATTATGTAACTCAATTTTTCATGCTAACAATGTCTGACACATGATGGCAATATATAAAAATTTTGTATTGCAGTAAAAAATGTTATTCAGAAGGCTTGATATCCTTACCTGCTATGGTAGCTCTACGGCTGCGACGTTTCACCACTAAGCATGGAGTTGCAGTTTCGATCCCCAACTGCAGCAGCCACAATCAGTGCAAGCAAAGTGCGATAACAATGGTGGACTTTCCTTTTGTTCTTGCTCGGGAACTGTAGGTGGTATAACTTAATTCTAAGTCAATTCAGGGGCCCACTACAAGTTTTTCTTTTCTGAAATAAGGCTGTGATCAGAACCACCAGTTGAAAACATTTAATGTGTGCTCACAACTTCTTCGTTCTGCCAGTTTGCTGTGACAGTTGTTCTTAGCTAAATGAAAGAAACATTGTATTAATAACTAAAGAATATATATCTTGTCACCAATCTTGTCTCACTCAAGGAAACCTTCCGCAGAACTGCTCGTCAAGCTAGGACAAAAAGAAAAACTGCTCCAACCCAACCTCTTCGTCCTCTTCCACACGAAAACCACGCGAATTCATGCGGCATTAAAAAGCGGCTCAATCCCAACCTCTTCGTCCTCTTCCACACGA